GTATTGAACCCGGGACATGAGATGCAAACCACGACCTACCCAAAAGGCAATAAGTGACCGTTGCGCCACGCACATGTAACGCCCACCCCTATCTAAGTATTTTAGTTGTGTGGTTTGGAGTACTCTAAATTACATAATAATTTTATAAATAATAAATGAATAAGCTGAAACACCAATAATTTATTTTAATTTTCACTCCTAGGTTTTTTTTTCTCAAAAAATGACCTGGGCTTAGATGTAACAGTATCGGGCTTGTTTCCACGCATCATAACACGAAGGATCTGAGTTGGGCTGCACACGGTCCAGTTTCAGACTTTCTGCGATTTGGAGGATGGGCTTTTGGGCCCGAGCATGAATTTGGACTCTAGTTTCGTTTCCTAAATTACAGCCCTAGCCAGTTTTAATCCACAAATCTTTCCCTGCCACTGCTGTAGACCAATGTCCAAAAACTGGTACCAACGGCAACGGGACTCATACTTTAGCCCATACATATACCAGAAAATTGTTCTTTTTAATTTGAAGATGGGGGGTGCGGACGAACTAGCTGGGAAGATGCTGATGTTTATAAAATTGAAATTTCAACTTTAAGCAACATGTTTTATTTATTAGAATCTAATTTAAAATTAAAAAATACACCTTATAAATGTTAATTCTTATATTTGAAAACAAAAATTCAATTTAAAATTTAAAAATTCACTTTTGATACGTGAATTTTAATAAAGTAGATTTTTGGACTTTAAATTAAATTTTAATTAAATAAAATAACGTAATTTAAAATTAAAATTGTAATTTCTTATCAAATTAAAATTTATAATAAAAAAATAAATAGTTAAATGATTGGAATAAACTGCAATTTAAAATTCTCAAATTTTTGTTAATAAATACTAAGAATTCTTAAATGGTCTGATCATAAACTTAACATTGTTGGACTTGTACCCACCCATTTTTTTCACGGTTATGTTTACAATAATGGATCTGATTTGGGCTGCCCGTATTCTTAGTTTCGGTCCATGAATGAAGCTTTCCAGCCTTTTATCAGGAGAAAGGAAAAAAAAATGTAAAATTCTTTTCTCGTGTCAATTCCTTTTCCACCCTTTATCAGAAGGCGAAAAGATAACATTATTCTCTCCTATCAATTTCCTTCCCTCCCTTTATTATTATTATTTTTTTTTTGTATGGACCATTCGGTATCTAAAAATTCATTGGATCACCGACTAATCCGGATCCGAGCTGGGCAAGACCCAACGGGCGGCAAAACTCTCCCTCATGAGTTTTAACGGAACTGCATTCTCAGAACTTGAACTCAAGACCTCTGGTTAAGCTGGAAGAGTCCCGGCCAACTCATCCACCCGCTCATGAGTCTTCCCTCCCTTTATTAGAAAAACAGAAAAAAGTATAATTCTGTTCTTATTTCCCATTCCTCTAAAAATCTTCAATCCAAAGTTTTAAACACAATAGAACTTGTAAAAAGGGAAAAAATAATAGTAGATGAATAGGAATTGGATCAAAACCTTTATAGAACAGTAATTTTCATTCAGATTGAACGGACACTTGATACTTTGAGTACTGGACCCAGCATGTAGAAACAATAAAAATGGGACAAACTGAGGTTTGACAAAGGGCACAAAACATGCCTTATAGGACAAAGATTCCTTTGGAAGAATCATCAAAAATCATATACCTGCCAAAATGAGGTAGTTGTTCTACCTTGGACATGTTCACCAAAAATATGAGATTGAAGTCTTGGTCTTAATTTTGAATAAAAACATCACTTTCCCTTCCAACTGGTCTAATTTTAGTTAGGAACAAACACCTATCCAAATACTCGACTAGCTTCAATGGTTCAATCAAACCAATAACCATTAATCTATAGGTTATGGACAAATGATTAGAAGAGGTTAAGACAAAAACACAAAATTTATCATTTTTTCTATTTAAAGATATAAAGTTTTTAAGTTTTTAAATTGAATGCTAAATTTTATTTTTTTTATTTAAAAATATAAACGTTGCCCTATTTCTATTAAGATTATTATTTTCACATCATGATCACATTCTAATAAATCTTTAGATAGAAAAATAAAGAAATTATGCTTAATATTGGCCTGCTAATATTAGTTTGATGCAAGAACTCCTAATATAAATAGACATTCCTAGTAAGATAAAATCAATAGAGATTTTGTTGTATATAGTAATTTTTAAATGAATATGTGTTTGCTTAATTTTTAAGTTTACTTGGTGAATAAGAGAAATTCTCGAAAGTAATTGTGTAAGGGGTTATTTACTTTGTAATTTAAATTATATCAAACTATAAAATTAAAATTTTTGAATGAGGGAGGAGGATCTAATACCAAGAGACATTTCTTTAATCTAAAGGTAATTATTTTACAATTGATATAGTTTAAATTGTAAAAATAATTTTTTATCTAAATGGTAAATAATTACCGTTCATTTCAAGCTATTTTTTGCCCAGCAAATTTATATTAAAAAAATTAATTTAATTATTTTTATTATTTTAAAACATAATATTATAAAAAGTTGAATTAGTTAAAAAAAGTATTGGGTTGAGTTTGTTTTGAAAT